CTTCAGATGGTCCACCCTGTATATATTCAACAGTTAAAAATTAATCAACTTATGCAAAGATAAAGGACCCCCGCAGTAATCTTATGTAAAATGGATCCCAGTCAAATTGGCTGAAATTTTACTATAATGTAGATCATGATGTCCTGATAAAAAGACCTCATGAGCACAAGGTCCAAAAATGAACAGTTTTTTCGAGATATTGGAAATAAAATGTTGGAATTTAGCCATATTTCCAATATTTGACATTCAACTTATTTCGAAAACTGTCCATTTTTGGACCTTGTACTTATGAGGATTTTTGATCAGGACATCATGATCTACATTATAATAAAATTTCAGCCAATTTGACTGGGATCTATTTTACATAAGATTAGTGCGGGGTTCTTTTACAAAAACTTTACTACATCTAATTTTGAAATTTATTGATGTTATGACAGTTATAAACCATAGAGAAACCTTATTATCCGCAGATGAGTTTGTACATTGTTACGCAGAGCGCTATCAAAATCCTTGCACGATGTCAAATCGGTCAATCGGTATTTGAAGTTCTCCAATTGGCCACAGATATGAAGGATCAAAAGTCCAAGAAAAACATCTACTGAGGTATAAGTTGTTCCACCTAGAAACATCGTTGCAGCTTGAATCACAAGCGCGATCTCAAATTGCGGACTCTTATCTGTATCGTAAAAGTAATATGCCTGAAAGGGTAATAATCTTTCCTGATCCGTAAGATTTGTTATATATCTGAAGTGTAGTCCGAAAGCAGGAAGAATAATTAGCACGATGAATATAAATATCATCAAAAAAAATCCACAAATTACAATCAGTCGAGCAGTTTGTGCTCGTTTAATCATCACGTTTCTTTCTGCGTCTATCTTTAATTCCATCCAATCTTCTGCCATCATCTTTACGAGCAGTGTAATAGCTTAAAACATAAACTCATATATATAACATTTACGGTTAATGAAGCTATAAAGTATATTAGTTTCAGATATAGCTATACCTGTACGTTTCCATCGTATGACGATAAGTTTCAGTGAAACGATTAGTAAAGGTAAAACAACTTGGAGGTTGTCTACTATAAGTATCATGTCACCCCAAACTCGCACAAGGGAGCATAAGAGAGGAATAATGGATAAGAAAGTTACTATAAAGAAAATTATGCCCACACGAAGATCCGAAACGAAGGTATTCTTAACTGCTCCGTTGGTTTTGGGCCATAAACCGACTAATTCCAAACCGAGTCGATTTAGTTCGATTGCCCATACAAAATCTAGCGATATTTTAATATTAATAAATTGAAATATTTGTCAAAATTATAATGTCAAATTAATTAAAATTTATTAAATTTGTTTTATGTTATAAATATAACAAATATTTGAAAATTAAAAAAATTTTAATAATAATTTAAAAATTGATAAAACTGATATATGATAATTTATGAGTTTTGATATGTATGTACCGAGAGAGAGAGAGAGAGAGAGAGAGAGAATTAGCTATATTCATAAAAGTTGAAAAGTTTCGTAATTCTATCACAAATGTCAAATTAATCAGTAATTAAAGTTTTAAACTCTGAATATACATTTGAAATAAAAAAAGTTCATATGTAAGTTCGTATGTATAAAAATTTCGATAAATAAAAAAAGGTTTCATAAGATAAAAAATCTTTCGGTGTGTAATATACTTATATTTACAAGACTGATACTAATGTTTAACACAATTTTTGGTTTTTTATTAATAATATATTTCAATAATTCAAAAGTTTTCACAAAAGTTATTTTTATTACAATTAAAAATTATATGATAGACGTATTTGATACCTTTATAACGTGAATGTTTGGTAACGTTCATATTGAAGATTAATGCAGAGAATTCGGTTCTTGCACCTCCAGAGTTCAAAATGGTCATCACGCATGCTCATGATGTAAGTATAAAAGATGGTTACTTCGTCGAGAGATACATTAAATATTACAAATACTATTTCCAGTTGATAGCACTTTTTTAGTTCGTAAAAGAACTTTACGGTCATAAGAATTGATCATAAAAAATACCAATAACTGTGAAGTGATAAAAAGAGAAACATATTTTGTCATAACAGGATCGTTGAGACATTATGCCTGTTATACAAGTTTCCCCTAACTTCATAATGTTTTACGCACGCATAGCACTTTGTAGCTAGCCACGTGTCATTGAATTTTTAATAGACCCATGTAGAGGATACAGAACGTAAATAACTTCGACTAAAAAGGAAAAGACAAAAAAACGTTTACACTAATAAAAAGGGAGAAACAATGTGTTGTATACGATACGTACTACCACCAACACGTCAAATAATACGCTAAAAGTTTCTCCATACTTTGTAATACTCGATCGCGTGTTGTATGATAATCGTGTTCACTTCGTAACTAGAGGTATATATGTAGTTGTGAGTAATGAGTAGTTGCGTTTTAATGGCTTTTGTAGAAAGGCCGTAGAAATTCAGTAAAACTTCAAACAAAAAGTGCGAGGGAAAAAATTAGCGTGCCATAAACTACAGGAGTACTGTGAATATCTATTGAAAAGATATTTCTTGATAAGTGAATAAGTGAATGTGTAATAATATCTATAGACTGCGTTCGGAAACATCACCCGAGTATCCCCGTGTATTGTTTTATCCTTGTTCATCCAATGTTAAACAAGGATAAAATAATACACGAGGGCACAGGGAGTGATGTTTCCGAACGTAGCTCTAAAGAGTTATAACGTTATCATTGCAATACTTTCTTCTCTTCTCGTCTTTGGATAAAAATGAGCATTTAATAAAATTATAACTTTGATACTCACTCACCCACTCATTCTCTCTCTCTCTCTCTCTCTCTCTCTCTAAAAAAAAGCATAATAGTTACTTACAAATTATACAATAAATAATTATATAATAAATATAGAGGAAAGGGGGGTAAGATGACGACCTTAAGGTTTGTCGATTTTTCCTAATTTCTGTGATGAGATAAAGAGACTGATTTATTTTTTTTTTTAAGTTACAGTCTTAGTTATCATTCGTAAAAATTATAAAGTTGTTAAATAAATTACAATTCTTTAAAATTTAATTTTTCTAAGGACACATCAATTTCGTCATCTTGCCCCCAAATGTGGGTAAGATGACTTTTAGTAGTGGATAAGATGACAAAAAGTCAATTTAAGTTAAAAATATACTTTTTACGAGTAAAAAATATTTATTATGATATGTTTATATTGCTTTAATATATTATAAGAAGTTTTAGAGAAGAACATAAATAAAATAAAACCTTTATATAATTTATGAAAATAAATTATTGAAACGTTAACATAATTATATTTATGTATTATATGTACTGTATGTAGTAATTACGTAATGAACTTATTAGTAAAAAACTTATTAGTAAAATATACCTACTTACTACCGTGTGTAGTCGAAAATAAAATACGATTTAAATAAAATTATTAAAGAACATTAGAACTAAACTTGGATATCACAATTATATCACATGTGTGAAACTAATATCTTAACTATAATAATCTAATATCTAATATCACACAGATATTAATAGATTTTGATACACACACATTTTATTACTCAAAGTATGTGATTAATTGGTTAGTACTAATATTAAAGTTTTATAAGGGCTGTGCATATTAAATATACCACACACATGTATGACACACAATTTTTCTTAGATATTTAATAATATTTAAAAAATAATAAGCTTAAATTGTATATTTACTTACAAGTAATCAATCAAAAAATAATCAGTAATTATTTATTATTTGAGTTGCGAAAACGTCACGCGTAGTAAAATTTTTTTATGTAAGATGTTTTTTCAATAGAATATATTTAACTTATTAAATTTATTGTTTTCGGTTTTATTTTTACGAAATCATAAGAAAAAGATACAATTAATTTAAACAAACACAAGATCTATATATAAATAAATATTAATTATTACATACAAATTTTTAATAGTGTAATTAAAAATATAAACATAATAAATATTAAAATAAATAACGTAAACTTTTTAAACATTTTACTTCTAAATATAAGTTGTATCATAATTATCTAATTAAAAATATTTTGCATTTTATACTCTTTTATCACAATCTAAAACAAATTATATGCTAATAATTTTCATGCTTTAACTTCGGTTTGCCAACAAAAACGATATATAGCTAGCCGATGTTTTTAATAGCTGAAAAAGCAGGCTTTCATTTAGAGTGATCCGTCAACAAGATTTCATACGCAAAACATATATTCATTTTCTATATCTATTTAAGACTATTAACTACTTATGCAATAAAAATATCTTACGCTACAAAATGTAGTCATTGTTAATGGAATAATCTTTCCTGCAGTGAAACGAAAAGGTTCACTGGCTCGTGTCATCAATAAAATAAGATATCTCGCTTTTTTTGACTCTAGTTTGTACCATTCGAGATCATTCAAAGTACGGTATATTGCTTCGCACTTAACATGTGCATAAAAAATATATAATAAGAGATAAATGTCTGTTATTTTATACCAGATTATTATCATAAATATTAATTAATTTTTATTCTTGTTTATAAAAGATATAAAATATTCTTTATTGTAAAAAAGATAAGTAGGTCTTCTTTTATAAGAAGATAAAAAAAATCAATTAAATTTTTTATCAATATTTATGAAAATGACATTACATGATTTTATAGATTAATATATGTCATAAAATAAATAATAAAAAAATTATAAAATACGTTTAAAATTATATAAAATTATATGTATAAAAATAGTTGCTACTAAATTTTAAGAGATTCTTTTTAAACTAAGTCTAATATAGATTAATGATCGACCATAACGCAAATTAAATTAATAATTAATTTATTTACAAATATAAATATGTGTCTTACTTGCTCTATTATGAGTTCTCCAGCCCCGCAGTAGAGAAAAGTATGTGTTAAGAGAGTAGTAATGCCAATCATTGCATATAACATTTGTGAAAAAGGAATACCACTAGTTTCATCGTCGGTAACAACCTATAAAATATACATTTTACTTTATAAAAAAAAATTAACATAAGTTAAATGAACAATAAGATTATGATTACAATCATAAATAAGATATATGGTGCAGTTATATAATATATATTATAAACGAAGATATGTAAGATGTATGTGAATGTATCTTCGATCTTACCAGCAAATCTGCATTGTAAATATATGCAAATGGTCACATTCAATATATATATATATAATTATCAAAAAATAAACATTAAAAAATTATAAAAATAAAAAAAATTGAAATATATAAAAAATAATAATTAATATTAATTTTATGTTATTATATAATATTACATCCTGCGGTTTTGTCCCTGCGTCCTGTTGGTCAGCTGATTGAGTCCGATCGATATTATGCCCAATTGTGATCAATCGATACAACTGCTTGCGTGCATTACCGTTCTAACGAGCTTATATGTATTCTAACTGTTGTTTAAATACGTAGTGTTTTTTGTGTACTGAGTGCTTGTGTTTTATTAAGTTTTTTTAACTACAAGTTCGTGCCTTTACTTTCGCGAGTGCGGGAGTGCTGTGTTTGCATCGTTGACGTAACAATGTAAATGTGCTAAAAAATGCGTGATATATGAAGACATTTCTATCATTATTATTATGTGCAAGAATGTACTACTGTTTCAAGATAAAATAAATGTGCAAAACTTAATTTTTTCGCAAGTTTTGCAAAATTTTATTTTATGCATCATTCTATAGTTATAATTAAAACCTGCAAAAAACCTGATGAGTCGTAGATGAGCGATCACATTACTTCGTAAAGCATTATTAAAATCTTTGCATGAGACCAAGTTGACCAATCGACTTCTGTAGTTCTCTAACTGGCCGCAGATGTGAAGAATTGTAAGTCCAAGGAAAGCATCCACCGATGTATATGTTATAGCTGCTAAGAAAATTGTTATGGCTTGAATGACAAGCGTGAGTTCAAATTGCGGACTCTTATCTGTGTCGTAGAAATAATATGTCTGTAGCGGTAATGGTTTATCCCGATCTGTGAGATTTGTTAAGCGTCTGAATGGCACGCCAAAACAAGGAAAAATGATGATCATAGTGAATGCTAGTATCATCAATACGTATCCGCAAATTACGATCAGTCGAGCAGTCCGCGCTCGCTTCATCATCACGTTCCTCTCTGTGTCAAGCTTCAATGTCATCCAATCTTCCGCCATCATCTTTATGATGGGTAAGAGAGCTTAACAATACAAGATTGTTATCTGTATATATTATTGCAATAATATTAAATTGCTAATTTATGAAGAAAGAACAAAATTATTGATATATTATTATTAGACATTTATTGTATTATTACTGGAAAAAAAGAAATAAATCACATATATAAATTCTGACGTCCGTCTGATAGCTTGCACTATACAGATATAAAAGATCAGATGCAAAAAAATTAGAAAGAAACTTAAAACTAAATGGTTTAAATTGTTGACAAACCTGAACGTTTCCATCGCATAATAACAAGTTTTAATGAAACTATCATTAGAGGTAATGTAATTTGTAAGTTGTCTGTTACGAGTAGCATATTGCGACGAACTCGTACAAGAGAACACATCAGTGGAATACCAGAAATAAATGTTATTATAATGAAAATAATAACGACGCGAAGATCGGACGTGTAGTATTTATCTTTAACTACTACATTTGTTTTAGGCCACAAACCGATCAGTTCCAATCCGAATCGATTTAATTCAATTGCCCACACAAAATCTAATAGAAATTCAATATTAAAGAGTTAACATATTTAATAAAATGTGAATTAATATGTATAAAAATTGAGCTACTTAAATACCTAAAAATTAATGAATCTATAGGCCTTCTTTGAGAAAATTGATTAAAGAATGTCAAAACACAGATAAGTCAAAATCCTAAATAAATAACATTGGAGGGGTCCGTTATACATATGTGAAAAGATAGAAATGATAGAGAATTGAAGACGGTATAATACAAACAATACAAATTAATTTTGTTACATAATAATTTTTGTCTTAATTCAGCAAAAATTAAATTCTTACAAAAATAAATTTCAGGATAAGTAAAAAATGTGATAATAATCCAACCTCTGTAATCTCTACGTTCGGAGATATCCATGAAGACCAATACAGGAGACTCCGCTTCGTTTTTCGTGAAGGCTATTACGGAAAACTGCGCTTCGAGTTTTCCGTTCTTAAATAAGAAGATTATCACGCATGCTCGCTACATAAGTGCAACAACCTAGTTGCCTCATCGAAGCAACATTAAATATTAAGAATGCTATCCCCAATTGATCACAGTTACTCGTCTCATAAAAAAACTTGACATTCGAATAAAGAAATGTTCGTCATAAAAAACGTTTATGTCTAGTTTATTACGACGAGAGATAGAAAATATTCTGTCATAATTCTTTCTGTCGAGAAAAGTTTTTAGAAAACTTTAATACGTACACCTTTATTTCTAAATGAGAAATAATATGCTTTTAATGGGATTGTATGTAGTAGATACACAGCACGATTACAGTTCAAAAACCTAATCGTTGTTATATTATCGTTGTTGTACGTTTCAAATGCTTATTGCAAAACTATATTTTATTATTGCAAACTAACTAAATATAGTGTTGTAAAATATAAATACGGAACTACAACATAACATGAACTATAGAAATAACCATTTCTTGGTAGTTATAGAAAGCTAATGCTTACTTATGAAATTTTACGTTACAATCATAAATTTTACATTTTGCTTTACTGACAATAACAAAATGGACAAATGTTATCTGTTGAATTTACCGTATAATTATCCATAAATATCGAGTAGATCTATATTGGATTCTAGACCATAGGGTCTGGTTACTTTATTGTTTTATTAGGAAACAATTAATACAATGCCAATAATAATTTTTATTACATTCAGCCGCGTACGCAAAATATACGAATACTAAAGAATAATTCAAGCCAAAAGCATTTCTTCTAAATAAAAAGGATATAATTTGCAATAAATGATAAACATTAAGGTAAACTACACCATACTTTATTTCTATTAACAATAGCTAAATATAAATAATTATAACTTCTATATTCGGAAATATTTTATTGAAAATACAGTATTTTTTCTATTTAGAATAAAAATATATTAACACTATTTTCAACTTCCTTTTGCCAGTAAAAACGATATATAGCCAGCCGACGTTTTTAAAAGCTGAAATAAGACTTATTGTTATTTGGATGTATTCTAGAAGGAAAAGAAAAATATTTACCCAAAAATAATCTTGATTGCATTTTTCTACTATGTTTGTAATTATAACTTTTTTTTACATTTACGTTTTGATTGGTATTCTTAATCGAAGATATTAAATATAAAAATAAATTAGATTATATTCAGTATGGAAAAGCATAAGTAAACTAAAAATTATTATCTATATAATCTTACACTACAAAATGTGGTCATCGTTAACGGAACAATTTTTCCTGCAGTGATGTGAAATGGTTCATTGGTTCGTATTATTAATAAAATAAGACTTCTCGCTTTTCTTGATTCCAATTTATACCATTCAAGATCACACACAGCACGATATAAAGCTGCACACTTAACAATAAAAAATATGTACATGTAACATATACTTAAATATACGTTTATCATTACAGTACAAGTTATCACAAACAATAATAAATGCGATAATATAAATTAAATAATTTTATTTTAATTAATTTTCTATCTTTATAGATATTTAAAAAAAATTAAAAAAACTTAAAAATTATTAAAATATTAATCATTCAATTATTTAAATAAGTGAATTTTACTAAAATTTTATTAAAATGTAATTAATGTTTATAAGAATATTATCTCATAAAAATATATACAAAAATACATGTAACAATAAATCTTCAATAGCTTCTTAGCAATTTAACACATTTAAAGAGATATATGCAAAGGCAACTATAATACAACATACAAAAATTATATATTGTAATTATTGAACACATACACATCCAGAGAAAGGTTTCGTTGATTCAAAGAAAAATTTCTTTGCTATGCAGTTAAAGAAAAAATTTCTTTGATTTGAACGTCATTTGATTTAAACATTTTTTTTATTTAAATAAAAAAATTTATTTGATTTAAAGAAATTATGTTTAAATCAAAGAAATGACGTTCAAATCAAAGAAATATTTTCTTTAACCGTATAACAAAGAAACATTTTTTTAAATTGAAGAAACCTTTCTCTGGGTGCATAACAAAGTCTAAAAAATTTTAATGCGTAACATAATTGCTATACATATATTACAACATTACATTTATATTATGTTTTTATATAATATAATATATTCTTATATGTATGTATACGCATTCTTATATACGAAGGCTATCCAGAAAGTAAGTTCCGTTTTTAAATTTTACCGCCGCAGCAGTGCGGTCGCGCATGCGTGAGTTTGTTAATTCACTGACAAGAGATTGACACGATTTTCAATTATTGGTTTATATTTATTGTATACGCATTATAATTTGTGGTTTGCATCCGTTTCTTAAATGCGAACAACATTAATGCGGCTGAATTTTATCTTCAAAGAAGCTATCACTACGTGGTTTATTGCCTCACAGGCGGCAATTTTCTATGATGAAGGGATACAATGTTTGACGGCAACTATGTAGAAAAATAGTGTAAGGTGTGCACTTTTAAAAGCAGTAAAAATTTTCTGTAAGTACGATTAATAAGCCATCGGAACTTTCTTTTTGGATAACTTTCATATATATATATTTTTTTATGTATCTGTATAAACGTATTTAACTTACTTGCCCTATTATAAGCTCTCCGGCACCACAATACAGAAATGTGTGCGTCAATAAGATAAGAGCAGCAATTGCCATATAACATGCTTGTGCGACATTCGCATTATTTATATTTTGATCAGTAACTACCTGGATAATATATCTCGCTAATTAATAAAAAACAAATTGTCATACGTTAGACATATAATAACGTTAGATACATAGACTCATGTAAATTACATTGCATAAATTAAAATGTGTAAGAATTAAAACGTTTTCAATATATTTGTTTCACCAAAACTTACACTAACAAGTAAAAATCCGCATAGGCAAAATACGATACCAAAATAAATTACCAATCCAAGCATCATTAACGAAAATGTTTTTTCAATGTTATCAGCAAATCTAGAAGTACAAAACAGAAAATTTAAGGGAAATGTTAGTTTAAGGCTAATAAAAGTCTACACTTAAACATAGTTATACATTTAAAGATCAAATAATGTCGTGCCATTTAATATTGTTTATTTATACTTAACCATTTGCTAATTAAGAAATGATGTTAACAGTTTCTAGAAGTTACGATGCTGTCTGCAGATGTTACATAATTTAAGTTTATTTATTCCGATTATATTTTAACCTCTCTTTCTTCTTTAATGTACAATACTTGTGTATCTATATATCGTTGTATTTTTATTTGCCATTGAACAAAAGCATATTATAGTTTATATTATCCGTCAGCTCCCAAAATCTTCGTCATTTTCTTTCTTTTACCTCAAGCGTGATACAAATTTCTTTAAGCACATATTTAACTTTAGGAAAAAGAAAGAAATTACAAGTCTATGGAAAATGTTTTAGAGTAATCTGTGTGATATTTCTCGGCCAAAAGTATATAACTCTCTTGCATCTATATTTTTATTTGCCATTGACCAAAAGCACGATGTAACTCATCATTTGTCAGTAACTGCCTCAAGATTTCTATCCTTTTCTTCTTTATTTTAATAATAGATACAAAACAAATCCCCTTGAAATTTAACTCTCGAGAAAAGAAACAAGTTACACGGTGTTATGTCTGACGAGTATGGAGGAATTATATAGTAGTGTAACCTATTTCTCGGGCAAAAACTGCCTCACAGCAATCTTAAAACAGCTAACGTGGATGATGAGCTGATCTGTCTTATTTGATCAATGAGAAATAAGAATGCAACATTATGTAGAACAGAAAGATTGAAGGAAAAAGAGATTAAAATGTAGCTAATATGAATAAACTTAATTTATAACATCAGTCTCGTCATAGAGTAGGGCGAGGCAATTTCGTCAGTTTCGACTTTAAAGTAATACGAAAATTTAAGATAGTAAACAATATCTTTTTGCAATGATATGCTTATAATTACATTATACAATTATGATTGCTTTTTGAGAGCACAAATATTTTTAAATAATCAACATTGCTGTTCAGAAACATAAATTATTGCGAAAACTGGACGAAAAAGCCTTGTTTTATCTTACAGATACTTATACTAGTAAAATTTATTATCTATTAAAAATAAAAATAATAATTAAAAAAAATTAATTTTTAATAAACTTGCAAGAAATGCTAATAAATATTATCAATTTAATATTAAAAATTAATAGACACGCTGATAATTTGACATTCTATTTTCACATTCTATTTTTATAGTTAAAATTCACACCTGATGAGTCTTAAATGATACATTACGCTGTTGTTCAGAGCTCGGTTGAAATTTTTGCACAAAATCAATTTGACTAAACGGCGTCTAAAGTTCTCTAATTGCCCGCATATGTGAAAGATCACGAGCCCAAGAAAAGCATCTACTGATGTATAAATTATACCTGCTAGAGAAATCGTTACGGCTTGAACAAGAAATGTCAACTCAAATTGTGGACTCTTATCTGTATCGTAGAAATAATACGTTTGCAGTGGTAGCGGTTTTTTCCGATCAGTAAGATTTGTTATGTGCCTTATTTGTATATCAAAGCAAGGAAAAATAATTAACATGATAAATGCAAATGTCATTAAAACAAATCCAAAAATTATGAGTAATCGAGCCGATCGCGCTCGTTTTATCATCACATCTCTTTCTGTGTTTAATTTTAGTGATATCCAATCTTCCGTCATCATATTGACAATGGATAAAAGAACTTGGAAATATATAAAAAAATACAACATTAATAATATGGAGGAATATCGAATTATTTATAATTAATTATAACTGTTTTTTAACTATCAAATTATTGAACCAAACACATTTGGTTCAAAACTTGGGAAGTTAACAAATAAATACAGCTAATCTTCTGAAATAAAAAAGTATCAAGAACATTTAATATTTTATTTCGGATAGGAAAAGAAAGAAAAAAGAAAGGAAGAACGACAGGAGAAGAAATAATCACATGTAATATCTTATTTCTTTAACGTTATAATCTGTTATGTTTTATATAAATTATAATAATAATTTAATATAAAAATGAAATAGATAAGATTCAGTTAAATAGTTTATATCAAATTATATTATGACACGTACCTTTTCGTTTCCATCGCATAATAATAAATTTAAACAAAACCACTATAAGAGGTAATGTAATTCGTAAATTATCTATCATAAGTACCATGTCGCCCCAAACTCGTATAAGCGCCCATACAAGCGGCACACCAGAAACGAATATTACAGTAATGAAAATGAAACCCACGCGAATATTAGATCCCAATTTTTTCTTAGAAATTTCATCGGTTGAAGGCCACAAACCGATCAATTTCAAGCCTAAACGATGTAATTCAACTGCCCATACGAAATCTAATTTTTTATACAAAATAAAAGATATTGATAAAATAATTGTAAATTAATACATAAGTTATTAAAAGACTAATTATAACATAAGAGAGAAAACAATAATGCAATGATAAGGATTTATAATATAAAATTATAATTAAGTATATAGAACGTATAGAACACGTGTCACAAAAAAAAAAACGAAATATATATCTACATATAATACGGAATCATACCTCTATAACCTGAAGAGCTCGTAATGTTCATGTTGAAGACTAACTTGAAGAAGATCGTCCTGGTCTTTCCACCATGCAATGTAAAACGATTATTGCGCATGCTTTCTATATAAGAGCAAGACAACGGCACCCTCGTTAAACGCTGTATTAAATATTAAAAATGCTATCTCCAATTGATTACAGTTGTTGGTGAGGCAAAAAACTTTATAAGCGTACAGCAGGACATAAAAATTGTTTACGTCTGACAAGAGACAGAAAAAGTTTTGACATAAGAAGGAAAATATTGCTTCGCATATTACACGGTATAAGTTTGTTGCGCTTACAGTACCGTTTGCCTGCATCACTTTTGCCGACAGTTCGTTTGCACACAAAAATTATTGCCTACAGCTCGATTGCCTACATGCACTTATGCGCACAAAAAAAATTTTAGAAACGGAGTAACTTTTGCTTACATGTAACTATTGTCTACATGTATTATTGCATACAGATATTATTGCCTACAATTCGATTGCCTACATGTATTTCTACACACAAATAAAAATTTTAGAAACGGAGTTATTTTTGCCTACATGTATTATTGCCTACATGTATTATTGCCTACAGCTCTATTCCTTACATGCACTTTTGCGCATAAATAAAACTTTTAGAAGCAGAGTTACTTTTGCCTACATGTATTATTGTCTGCAGCTCGATTGCCTACATGTATTATTGCCTACAGCTCGATTGCCTACAAGCACTTTTGCGCACAAATATAAAATTAAATTTAAGTAAGAAAATAATTTATATTTTTATAGGAAATGTGTCATGTAAACAGTGGGGTGTCAGCGTAGACAGTGTCCGCTTGGAATATTTTTCCAAAAATATCTAACTCCACCTAACCCATTTTTTGGTGTAAGGTAGCTCTCATTTCGCGTGGAAGGTTGTAAGCTGTAGGCAATAACGTATGTAGGCAATCGACTTGTAGGCAATAATATATGTAGACAATAATACATGTAGGCACAAGTAACTCCGTTTCTAAAATTTTTATTTGTGTGCAAAAATGCATGTAGGAAATCGAGTTGTAGGCAATAATACTTGTAGGCAATAATACATGTAGGCAATAATACATGTAGGCAAAAGTTACTCCGTTTCTAAAATTTTTATTTGTGCGCAAAAGTGTAGGCAATCGAGCTGTAGGCAATAATTTTTGTGTGCAAACGAACTGTCGGCAAAAGTAATATAGGCAAATGATACTGTAGGCAATCGATTTGTAGGCAAACGGGATCCCCCAGTTTGTTGAATTCGTATGAAAATTTTTTTCATATTCACTTTATATTTATTCCATATTTTAATTTATATTATGTGTAAATTTATTTCTAAATGAAAAAGAATACAATTTTAATGAGATTATATACGTGTACTATACCTGAAAAACATTGTAGTTAAAGAAACAAATAATACGACATTACATAATACGTATCAAATATAATATTTTATAACTTTTTATTGTCCATACATTTCCTTTGATAAAATAATGTCCTAAACAATATAAGAGACTGCGACTTTTTAATATACGTCTCTGTTTTAAATATAAGAATCAGTTATAAACCGGCTTTAGAAAAGTTTTAACATCCTGAAGAGTATAAAACTAAACCTAATAAGCTTTAAAAAAGTTGACATTTTTACAATAAAACAGCCAATATATTCTGCAATATTTCTGTACGGCAAAGATAAAGTACTTAATTATATCATCATAAGTGCATTCATCCTACCACATACTGTTTTAATAAAACGTAGAAAAATATCAAATATTATTATATCATATACAATTTTATTCAAAATCATATACAAAATATAATCTTCAACGAAAATTGATAACATTATTATATTAAAGAATTTGATAATATAATTAACAATAAACAATACACAAACTGGAACTTAATTTTTATCGTAATAACAATTATATATTAAATATATTTTTTTGTCTATTACTCATAATTATTTAACTGCAAACACACATTTACTTCTACCATAAATAGGAAATATTAATATATCTATCATTATAATGTTCAACCACGTTTTGCCAGTAAAAATGATATGTAACCACATGATGTCTTTAGTATCTAAAAAGTTATTTTTATTTAGACAAATAATGAAACAGTTACCAGATATTAACTAAAAAATATCTTGAATTGATTTTTTGTCTATATTTGTTATAAAAATCAGAATATTAATGATTATTTTATAATTTGTACATATAAATATTTTTCAAAGTTTAATACATAAATAAATGTAGCATATATCATTATTACATGCAATCTGATTTATTTATAATATAATTAGTAAAACTGAAAAGGGAAACACCTTTCAGTGATCTTGACTTTGACATATGATATTTAAGGTCATGATCTTGAGCAACATTCAAAAAGTTTTAGCCATCGCTTACTATTTGTTAAAAAGTTAGGTAAAACTGTAGAAAAGAGGAACAATTTCCAATGACATTCATTTGTTGTGAAGGTCGTGACCTTGAATATCATTCAAAAAATTGCTCGTTGTTTATTAACAAATTATTATAATAGGAATCATAGACAGTTGTGTGGACATGCGTGTGTGGGAGAGAGAGAAGTTACATACAAAAGTAAACCAAATTCCATTAAATATTAAAAGAATAAAATTATAACGAGAGAATTCTGAATAATCTTACGCTGCAAAAAGTAACCATCGTTAATGGAAAAATCTTTCCTGCAGTGAAACGAAAAGGATGTTTGGCTCGCATTATTAACAAAATAAGACTTCTCGCCTTCCTTGATTCCAACTTGTACCATTCAAGATCGCATATTATACGATATACTGCATTGGACTTAATAAATACATACAAGAAAATATTATTGTCCATGCCATTTCAATGAGTATTTTTAGAAACATTAGTTAATTAAAACTTAATTTCTTATTTTTTCAATACGAATAAGTGAAGCAATCCATATTCGATCAAGGTGAGTCTTGATAATTGATAATATTGATATAAATTTATCGATTTCCAGTTCAAACAAATTGCGCGCTGATTATTTGGAAGTTTTAAAACAATTTTAAACTAGCTAGAGTACGTAATAATATTAATTATAAGCAATTTAATACTATTAATGTAATAACCTTTAAAGTACTGTAAATGATTTAATTTTTTAATTGGAAATTATAAATTAAAATTCTCACTATATCAATTGATATCAAGTCTTGACTGAATAAGCATTCCTAACAGACGTAACACATTTGTGTCAAATATTTCTCGGTCTATTTTCATTTAATATTGTTTCTATGTCAAAATAAAAATTAGAAACAGAAATGTCATACAATTTAATTGAATTTGTATTCTTGTTTAATTTTCATTCAGAAACGGTCGTTTAAATGTAGAAATGTGTAACAATATAAATTTTTACTAATTTTTTCTAGTAATATGGTAACAATTTTGATAACAAATAGTATTATAATAACATAACAAGAGAAACTTTTTTTAGATATAATATATAAAATATAACTAATAAAATATTTGCTCCAGATATAAAACATAATAAATTTACATAATATGTCTATATATTATAACTTACTCACTGTAGGGTAGGACTTACTTGATCCATTACTAGTTCTCCCGCTGTACAATAGAGAAAAGTATTCATCAATAAGAAAATAAGAAGCAATATCGAGTAAAATCCTTGTGCGATAACAGACTTATCTATTTTTCTGTCAGTAAGTATCTGAAATATATAAATTATAAGAAGGTAAAGAAGTATATGCATGCATTAATATATGTATTTTCTTACGCTAAAACTTACAATAGTAAATGAAAATCCACCTAGGCAAAATACAATACAAAAATGTAGGATCAATACTAATACCATTAAAGAGTATGTATTTTCGATATTTTCAGCAAATCTGTAAAAATAAAAATATTTAAAAGGGTTCCCACATTGAATCGATAAAATGCTATATGAACAAAATTATACAGGGAATGCAAGTAATGTATTATTTGTGACGCCGTCACCGTTACAAGTTACTTTTGAAATGGTTGCTTTTGGTTACAAATCGATTGCCTACAGTATCGTTTGCTTACATCACTTTTGCCGACAGTTCATTTGCACAAAAAAATTATTGCCTACAGCTCGATTGCCTACATGCACTTTTGCGCACAAATAAAAATTTTAGAAACAGAGTTACTTTTGACTACTTGTATTATTGCCTACAGGTCGATTGCTTATATACATTATTGCCTACAGTTCACAGTCTTCCACGTGAAATGAGGATTACCTTACACCAAAAAATGAGTTAGTTAGGGTTAGATTTTTTTGGAAAAATATTTCAAGCAGACACTGTCTACGCTGACACCCCACTGTTCACATGACAGATTTCCTAAAAATATAAATTATTTTCTTACTTAATTTACTTTAATTTTATATTTGTGCGCAAGAATGTGCTTGTAGGCAATCGAGCTGTAGGCAATAATACGTGTAAGCAAAAGTAACTCTGCTTCTAAAAGTTTTATTTGTGCGCAAAAGTCTATGTAGGCAATAAAGCTATAGGCAATAATACTTGTAGGCAATAATATATGTATATAGGCCAAAGTAACTCCATTTCTAAAATATTTATTTGTGCGCAAAAGTATTTGTAGGCAATCGAGCTGTAGGCAATAATTTTTGTGTGCAAAAGAACTGTCGACAAAAGTGATGTAGGTAAACGATACTGTACACTCAAAAAAAGATAATCTAATTGTAAAGTAAAATTTCCGGTAACCTCATATTCTAAGCAGAAACTTTTACAGAAAGAGTATTCCTCTTCCAATTCACTGGACTATTCATTAAAAATGTATTGGAGATTATTGTAACAGTTTTCCTCTTATATGAAAAGGAATATATTTATTGAAAGCGGAGTGCCCTCTTACGAGTAAATTATATTAGGAACAGCAAGGTTTTTACTGCAGATGCAAAACGAAAGTAGGTACTTTAACTGTAAGAATATTGTGCTTAGCATATTTTCCTCTTGATTTCAGAAGATTCCTCTTGAGGCCGTATATAAGAATAAAATCCTCTAAGATTTAGCTGTTTCTGCTAATATTAAAATTTTTTTTTTGGTGTATTAATATAAGAACAAACTTTATGAATACTAATCTTTAAGTTTGACGAATATAATGACATATTCTATAAAATTTGTTGCAAAAAATATCCTTATTCGAATTATATTTCAAGACCGAAAATTTAATCGGCGCGTAGTTTATAGAACTAGATGTGTATATGTATAAATTCACTCTCTGAAATATTATTATGAATAAAGTTTGAACCAAAAAAACATCTTCCTTTCTTAGTTGTGCTTTCACACGGAAAAGTAACAAATTAATATTTATAATTTTTTAAGTAACGATAACGAATTACTTTTTTCACTCGGTAATGATGAGAGAAGAATTACTTTTTTCACTTGATAAAAAGCAAACGCAGTTATTTTTAAAAAGTAGTGACTTTCATTTCTTGAAAAAATATATATCCAGGAAAAATATGTACATATCATCGTCTATTTAGTATCATTTATTAAATTTCTGACTAAAGATGGAATTATACAATGCTCGATTTCTTGAATGATAAGTATTCACGCATGCATGCACACATGCATGCTACTATGCTTGCTTTGATGCATACAGTCTGACGTTTGACAAATAACTATGAAATTAGTAATCACTTCTTTTGATTGGTGCATGTAAGGAAATAAGCTATGAAGTAATCAATAACAAATACAAAAATCATGTACATACCTATATGCAGCGCTTAATACATGAACGAATTCTAGCATACATCAGAGTAGGCATGACTATTGGTCTGTTTTCTGTTCCTGCATAGACTGCACTAGAAGTCTCTTTCTTCCAAAAGAGTACATTGGTTCAGCCACAGAAACAGACCTTATATGCATGCTATCATTCAAGAAATCGAGCATCGTGTGATTTCATTTTGTAATAAACAAGCATAGATATTAATATACTTATTACATTATGAGCTAATAAAATATTTTTAACAAACGAGTTTTACAACTACATGTGCTAGGAAATAAAACATAATAAAGTGTACAATGGATACGATAACAGAATTGGAAAGTAAATAAAAAATTAATATCTTTGCTATAAACATATAAATATGAATAAAAAAATGTAACATTTAAAGTTTAAAATGTGTGTGGAAGAAAATATTTTCAATAATGCATCTAAATCAATTTTGTTGAACGCCCTCTATCGTCACAATAAAAATTCATACCTGATAAGACGTAAATGGGTCGTCACAATGTTGTTTAAAACTTTATTGAAGTTTTTGCATGAAATCAAATTAATTAATCGATATCTAAAGTTTTCTAACTGGCCACAAATATGAAGAACTGTTAGTACTAGAAAAATATCTATAGACATATAAGTAATAGCTGCTAACAACGTTGTCACAGTCTGAATAAAATATGTCAACTCAAATTGCGGACTCTTATCTGTATTGTAGAAGTGATACGTTTCCAACGGTAATGCTTTATACCGACCCGTAGAATTTGTTACGTGTGTTACTTGAATGCCAAAACAAGGAAGAATAATTAATGTGAGAAACCCTATTACCACGAGAGCATATCCAATCATCATAATTAATCGTCCTGTTTGTGCTCGTTTTATCATCACATCTCTTTCTTCATCCATCTTGAATGCCATCCAATCTTCCGCCATCATATTTACAATTGACAAGAGTACTTAAAAATGTAAATATATATATATATACATAAAATGTAAGTATTGTTAAAGACGCTAAAATATTGAATTATTTAGATACTTATATGTTATTATTTATGAACTATCATAAACAGATAATAATACACACTTTATATTTTATTTTTATATACGTTACTATATAGGAATAAATTATATACTAATAGTATATAATTTCCGGTTACTGATATATTATATCCACTGATACTATATCCACAATATATTTGCAATTATAATTATTCCTCACAACATGGTTTAACAATCAATGAAATATAATGCTAAATATTTTACTTCATATAATTCTGAACATACCTGTTTGTTTCCGTCGTATGATAATGTATTTCAATGATACCATCAGCTGGGGTAATGCTGTCTGTAAATTGTTTATTACAAATAGCATATTGCCCCAAACTTGTATAACTGCACATATCATTGGAATATTACAAACAAATATCAATAAAATAAGAACGATGCCGAACCAAATTTCTGGCCACAAACTTTTCTTAGTACATTTGTTGAGTTTAGGCCACAAACCCACCATTTTGAAACCTACACGATGTAGATTTACTGCCCACATAAAATCTGATAAATTTTTATACAATATAAATGATTTGGATAAAATAATTACAAATCAATGTATAAAATAAACAATTATATCAAAATTAATGATAATGCCATATCTCAAAAATGGATTTACAATACAAAATTATATAAATTTATTTACTAAATAGAGTAACAATATTTACGCTGCAGAAGTCAGGAAAAACAGAAGTAGTCGGAGTAATTTGCACGAAACTACTCTGATTGCGTGCAAATTACTCAAAAAAGTAATTACACTTAACCCTATAGGATATACGGTAAATATGCAAGGATTCAAACAATTTTTTTTAGTATGCAAAATAAATATTTTGGATTTCTAATTTTTTCATAGTAGTAGAAAGCATAATGTTTTTATTGAAAAGTTTATTTGTTTTAGTAAATAATATTCGATAAATTATAAAATTTGATAGGTGCACTATTAAATCTGTAGTGTCAAATTTAACTTAATGTGAGTTGCCACTGCTCCCACTCAATCATATCGTTATTTTATATTAAAGCAATGGTTATATTTGACACTATACAGTGTCAAATTTAATTATTTTAGAAAAAAATAACGATATATTTAGTAGGAGCAGTGGCAACTCACATTAAGTTAAATTTGACAATAGATTTAACAATGTGCGACGGATATATACCGGAGTTAAGCTGTATTAAACACGGATAATAAACGGAAAATATATAATATGAAATTAGTACCTCTGTATCCTGAACGTTTTGTAATGTCCATGAGGGAAATTAGAATGTAAAGAATGTCTTGTTCTTTCGATGGTACGATGTAAAATGATCATCATAAATGCATGCTCTCCACAAATGCAGAAACTCGATAGCAAAACGCGTCATTAAATATTAAGAATGCTATCCCCAATTATAGCTTTTGATATCGTAAGAAAGACTTTATTAACGTTCAAGTCACTTGATAAAAATTGTTTACATCTAGTCTAATAAAATGAGAGATAAAAATATTGTATTGCATTATAGGCATGCTAAACTCGCTTGAAAAGTTTTTCGTATTCTTCATATTGCTCCATTATGTACATATTTATCGCGAAATGGAAGATAACGCCACTGCATCTTTAATGTAACTTACTATATAGCCACAAAAGTTATAGTAGAAAAGAGATAAAATAAAATTGAATGTTATACGTATCTTTTAAATGTCTCTTTCAAAGACATTAATCGTTGCGATAAATGTGAGTGGAAGTAATATTATTCTAGACTATAAGTGGATTATAATTTGTATTTTATAATGGTTCATGCATTTCCAATGATGAAATTTCAGTGTCTAAAGTTGCAATTTTATAAGGTATGATAGTTTTCAAAGATCTGACAATATTCTTTCTATAAAATAACAAATGTATTGTCCAATATTTCTGTTCAATGGTAAGGAAGGTAAGGGAGCCGACCAATTCTTTTCTCAAAAAATTAAAGTGATAAAATACATATAGATATAATAACATAAGTACATTCATCTTGCCATATTGAATTTGTAAAACGCAATTTACGCCAAAAATTTGTAAAACTTTATTATTAAAGACAATGTAATTTAAAAACGAACATTAAGAGGAATTTTTCTATCGTATTTTTATACTACAGGCTTCTCATTTCTCCTTAACCGTAATACATAAAGACCTAAATTCCATTGAACTATTTCTGTATAATGTAAATATTTGTTATATTACAAAAAAAAATGATATAATTTATAATAAACAACAATCACACACAATACACAAAACATAATTTTGTTTTTACTAACAATATAAAGTTCCTTCTAGATAGGAAACTGTATTCACTTCTAAGCATATAACTTCTAAGCATATACGAACATATCTACTTATATGTTTGTGTATAACTATTGAATATTAAAAGATTATCTTTAGCCATGTTTTGTCAATAAAAATGATATATAGTCTATCAATAATTTAAATATCTGAAAATAATAATTATTTTTATTTAATGACATTTGAGAAATACATTGCCAATATCGATTCTTATGTAGGAGAGATCGAGGTTAGGAAATAGTAGCCAACTTATTTTTAACTTATTATTTATATATACTCTCTATTTTTAATTTTGATTTTTATTCAGATTATACACATTTAGCCTTTCTAAGGGTTTGGACATTATTGACGTATCGTTTTATATATGTAATTTGGACTGTAAGCAAACAGCATTTTCAGCATATATGAAAGACGGTTTTTTGTTTATAAGCTTTATTAAAAAAATTTTATTGTTAAATATAGTCGCCTTTATTTTTGTGATATAAATATAAGTGACTTAATAACAGTCTAATTTTAATCAAATTATTTCTATGGAATGGAAAGCTACTATTTAAAAATAACAACAAATTATGAATAACGATCAAAGACTGCAGATTAAATATGCAAAAACTATGTCATAAATAGGTTTGAAATATAAAAATTAATGACAAGAGTAAGTATAAAATTCATTACCAAAAAAATGTAACTACCGTTACAATTAAAAAAAGCGCTGTTAGTAGTCTGATACAAAAAAAAGTAACTTATATTAAGCTTGTAACAGTAATGGCGTACGTAAATAGTTACTTCCATTCCCTGGTTATTCCTGTGAACTATTTCTACAAAAAAATTGACAATATCATTATATTAAAGGGTGTTTTTTATAATTAGCAATAAACAATGAGCAATGAGATATATGAATACGAATTTTATTTTTGCTGTAATAACAATACAATACTATTGTCTAATACTAGTAACTATTTGTCTACAAACATATTTTTTTTATTAATCACGAATATTAATATATCATTATAATCTTCAACCACGTTTTGTCAGTAAAAATGATACGTAACCACATGATGTCTTTAGTATCTAAAAAGTTATTTTTCTTTAGACAAATAATAAAACAATAAACAAATATTAACTAAAAAATATCTTGAAATGATCTTTTTTGCCTACATATATCATAAAAGTCAGAATATTGACTGATAATGATTACATTAGTTTACAGCAAAATATTACTTTGGACCGGACTACGTGTCTTTTATAGATTTTTGGATGCTCAAAATAATGCCGCAAACGAAAAAATTCTAGCACGTCGGATTTCCAAGATAATTGAGGTTTAATACTGAAAAAATAGCTTTTTTTGCTATATTTTTGCTACATTTTTTTAATAAAGAAAGTCAACGTTATCTTGAAATTTCAGGAGTCATGAATGTATTGTGCATCCCCTATAAAATACATTTTTTTTATTTCAATATCTTACTTTTTAGCCATGTTATGAACGATTAAAGATAGAAGCTATTTTGAATATGGTGACTCCAGCAGCGTCATATGTGATGCGGATTAATTTCTTAGGGTCACATTTTGATAACTATACCTTAATACTTTTATGCACAGAACTATGAGACTAATCCACTGGCGTAATAAAAATACATCGTTGCTTAAAAAAAAAATGCAATTAGTAATATGCAACTACATATCTTTCATAAAACAACTCTCTCTCTCTCTCCCCTCTTTCTCTCCTCTTTCTCCCCTCTTTCTCTCTTCCCTCCCCCACTCTCTCTCTCTCTCTCTCTCTATGTGTGTGTATGCGCGTTGTTGTTGTTTTAAAATGATTTTAGCGTTACCGCATGCGCATATGATGCTGCCGCGGTCTTCATATTCGAAATAGCTCTTATCTTTAATCGTTCATAACATGGCTAAAAAGTAAGGTACTGAAATAAAAAAAAATGCATTTTATAGGGGATGAACAATACATTCATGACTCCTGATCGAAATTTCAAGATAACATTAACCTTCTTTATTAAAAAATGTCAAATATCACAAAAAAAGCCATTTTTTAAGTATTAAACCTCAATTATCTTGGAAATCTGATGTGCTAGAATATTTTCATTTGCAGCATCGTTTTCAGCATTAAAAATCTATAAGAGACATGTAGTCCGGTTCAAAGTAATTGAAAAAAAAAATTTTTTGTAAAATAGTGTTATTTTCTAATTTGTGCATATATTTTTCTAAGTTAAATACATAAATATTACATATGTTATTATTACAAGTGTAATCAGTAAAACTGTAAAAACGAAAAGTATAAGCAGTAAAACTGTAGGAACAAGAAGCACCTACAAATGACCTTGACATTAATATATGTTGTCAAGGTTATAATGCTGACTGGCAATGAAACGAAATTTTTGTGATTTAGAAATTAGATTGGATTGGATTGGATTAGGAATATTGTAGGACAGGTATAGGTTCCACATTTTCCCCGATCATGCATGTTATTTCCACGCAAAACTGATATAAAATAGTACGTTTGTAGACCTTATTTCGCGCGAAGATCAAAAACTCATGTGGATCAATACAATTATAGACCTCGCGTTTCGCCTTAAAAGGGAAAGATATGAGATGGACCCCGTTTTGCGCTTAAAAAGTAATATATAGTTACAATGAATGAATTTCTTTTTTGAAGTTATAAGTCATATTATCCATGTATCCATTAAATGATTAACATATTAATTAAAAATTTTGGCATACATATTAACAATGTTTTATTATCCGTCTAATTATTAATTATATTAAAATTAGTATAAGTGCTTCTCAAAACTCAGTTTGTGAATGACCTTTTAATATGGTTTAAAACGATTCAAACATTTTCAAGGTCATGACCTCGGCAACATATGTCAAGGTCATCAGTCTTGTGATCTTAATTTTTATTCTTTAAACTCTTTAAAGTCTAAAACAGGTACAACATCAGGCAGTACTTTAAATTTTATTATATATGTATCAAAATTAATGATGTAATATGTTCACTAAAATAAACATTTATATTTGCTAATTTTATTAAACTGATACAATTATTAAATGAAATTTTTATTTAAAAAATCACAGATGCACGCATACAGGGTATTCGATTGTGGGGGGGATCCCGTTTGCCTACAGTAGGGGAGAGTGGTGTCGGTTGAAACAGAGGGTCAATTGTAAAATTAAATAATAATAGCTGTATCTACTGACGAAAGGTTGAACTGCATGCACGGTTAAGTTGAAATTAATGCCAAAGGATATATTTGGTTTCATAAAAAATTTCAATTTTTTCTTATTTATAATAAATTGGTTAGCTGCAAAAATATTTTTTTTTTGTTACAACCGACACCACTCGCCCCTATCTTTTGCCTACAGTTCGATTGCCTACATGTGCTTTTGAACACCAATAAAAATTTTAGAAATGGAGCTACTTTTGCTTACTTGTACTATTGCCTACAACTCGATTGCCTATAGCTCGATTGCCTACAGCTCGATTGGCTACATGCGCTTTTGCCCACAAATAAAAATTTTAGAAAAGGAGTTACTTTTGTCTACATGTACTATTGCCTACATGTATTATTGCCTACAGTTTGATTGCCTACATGTATTATTGCCTACAGTTCGATTGCCTACAAGCACTTTTGCGCACAAATATAAAATTAAAGTTAAATAAGAAAATAATTTGAAAATAACATGACAGATTTCTTAAAGTCATGTGAACAGTGGGATATCAGCGTAGACAGTGTCCGCTTGGAATATTTTTCCAAAAAAATCCAACCCTAACCAAACTATTTGTTGGTGTGAGGTGGCCCTCATTTCGCGTGGAAGGTTGTAAGCTGTAGGCAATAATACATGTAGGCAGTTGAGCTGTAGGCAATAGTACATGTAGGCAAAAGTAACTCCGTTTCTAAAATTTTTATTTGTACGCAAAAGCGCATGTAGGCAATCGAGCTGTAGGTAATAATACATGTAAGCAATCGAACTGTAGGCAAAAGTGATGTAGGCAAAAGATAGTAGGCAATCGATTTGTAGACAAAAGCAATCATCTCTTGCAATTTTCGCAATAGATAACAAAAAGTTAATTGCTAATGATTGTCATATAAGCTTGTATTCACTCGGTTTACTGTTAAAGGCACGCGTGTTTTTTAAGCGTGTGAGGAGTTATTTACTACATGCAACAAATATTCAGGATACCCTGACACATGCGCTCGTGGATGTGTGTGTGCGTGCATGTGAAGAGAAATGGGAGGACGGAGAGAGAAGTTGCATATAAAAGTAAAACAGATTTTATTAAATAATAAAGAAGCAAAATTATAACAAGAGCATTTTAAATAATCTTACGCTGCAAAAAGTAGCCATTGTTAATGGAAAAATCTTTCCCGCGGTGAAACGAAAAGGATGTTTGGCTCGCATTATTAACAAAATAAAACTTCTCGCTTTTCTTGATTCCAACTTGTACCATTTAAGATCACATATCACACGATATACTGCATTGCATTTCAATATTATACGTACATATAAGAAAACATGTTAATGTTCATGCCATTTTAATGGGAAGTATTTCTGACAGGGACTCGGATCGAAGTTACTTTCCGGATTAAATTTTCGGCCTGATTATGATTATAGTCTGAAGCTATTCACTTTTCGATTTTAGTGTCGATTTAGTGTCAGTTCCAATTCTCTTTGTGATAACGGTGACCGTTACAGGTATGTAATTACCAATAACCGAAGCTGAAAAGAATAGAAAAGGACCGAAATCTAAACCATTCTGATAACCGGTAAAAGAAGAAACAAGAAGATGGATTTAGTCTCGGACTATTATCCAGCTCGAAATTTTCGGTCCGAGTTCCTAATTTCCAAAAATATTATTGTAGCAATAATTAATTGAGCCTATTTAATTTCTTATTTTTTCAACGTAAATGAGTAAAGCGTTCCATATTCGGTCAAGATGAATCTTGATACCTAATAATATATTGTATACATTTTTTAAGTTTCTAGTTTAAAAGAACAATGCACAAATTATTTGAAAGTCTTGAAACACAGTCTTAAACTGGAGTGCGTAATAATATCAATTATAAATTGATAAGCAATTCAATATTATTGATGTTAATAATCTTTAATGTGCTGTTAAATAATTTAATTTTTTATTATAAACTGTAAATTCAAATTCACATAATATGTAATTAAATATCAATACTCGCCTTGACTGAACATGCAGACTTAATGCATTTCTCAGTCTATTATCATTTAATATTATTCCTATCTTTTGTCCAAATTTAATATGACTTACTTGATCCGTTACAAACTCTCCCGCTTCACAATATAAAAAAGTATTCGTCAATAACAAAATAAGAATCAATATCGAGAAATATCCTTGCGCGATAACAGCTTCATCTATTTTTCTGTCAGTAAGTATCTAAAATTTTATAAATTGTAAAAAGATAAGGAAATGTAACGCATGAATTAATATATTTTTTTATGTTTGTTTTACTAAAACTTACAATAGTAAATAAAAACGCACTTAGGCAAAATGAAATACAAAAATTTAACACTGATATCAACATCATTAAAGAGTATGTATTTTCGATATTATCGGCAAATCTGCAAAAATAAGACTATTTAAGATGATTATCACATTAATTTTCAATCAATTTTGTTAAATGTTATCTATGATGATAATAAAAATTTATACCTGATAAGACGTAAATGGATCTCCACAATGTTATTTAAAACTTTATTGAAATTTTTGCATGAAATCAAATTAATTAATCGACATCTAAGATTTTCTAACTGTGCACAAATGTGAAGAACCGTTAATATTAGAAAAAAATCTACACATATATAAATGGTACCTGCTAATAAGGTCGTCAAGATATGAATGAAAAATGTCAATTCAAATTGCGGACTTTTATTTGTATTGTAGAAATGGTACGTTTTAAGGGGTAACGGTTTGTGTACACCCGTGATATTCGCTGCATACATTACTTGAATGCCATAACAAGGTAGAATGATTACTGTGAGAAACGATATTACCAGGAAAATATATCCAATCATCATAATTAATCGCGCTGTTTGTGCTCGTTTTATCATCACATCTCTTTCTCCATCCAACTTGAATGCCATCCAATCTTCCGCCATCATATTTACAATTGACAAAAGAACTTAAAAATATAAATATATTATACGAGGTCTGTCCTAAAAGTATTCAACCTGTGTGTATATTCGTCCCTGAGCATTCTCTCTCTCTATTTTAGAAAACAGATTCATTATTTAGGGGGTACCTCGAGGAGTACACCCACCATTCGTGAACCCAACAGCTTTAGGCCCAGTTCCAGAACTGACGGTTAACTCATAACCGTCGTTCAACTTATTCATTGTCTCTTTCCAATTTTAGAATTGGAAAAAGATGAGAAACAAGTTGAACCGCGGTTAAGAGTTAACCATGAGTTGTGAAACTGGGCCTTAATTGGCAACGTTACGCAGTTATGTGAGCATCGAAGACTCCGAGTGTCGCATTTTCACGATAACATACTTGCTCTTTCGTCTCGCCTGATTCAGGATTTTTGGACTAAACACGGGATTGTCCAACTTTGACAACATCCGTATAGTCCAGATATAGCCCCGTATGACTTCTGGATATTTTCTAAGTTGAAAAATCTGTTTGAAAAGGAGAGAGAGAGGGGGGGAAAGAAGAAATGCTCAAGAACAAAGACATACGTAGAGGTTAATTAGACATTTCTGGGAATGATCTCGTATACATATAAAATTTAAGTACTGTTAAAGGCGTTAAAATATTGAATTATTTAAATATATACTGTTATTTATAAATTATCGTAAAGAGAGAATCATACACGTTTTATATTTTATTTCCATATAGATTGCTATATAGGACTAAATCATAAATACGATTTCTGGTTTCTAATGTCGTAATTTACAGTACGTTCGTAATTATAATTATTCATCATAACATGATTTAACAAATCTATGGAATATAATGCTAAACGTTTTATAATTCTGAACATACCTGTTTGTTTCCGTCGAATGATAACGTATTTTATTAACATCATCAGCTGTGGTATCGTTGTATGTAAATTATCTATCACAAGTTCCATATTACCCCAAACTTCTATAACCGCACATATCATTGGAATATTCAAAACAAATATCAATAAAATAAAAACGATGCCAACCCAAATTTCTGGCCACAAACTTTTCTTAGTACATTTGTTGGATTTAGGCCACAAGCCTACCATTTCGAATGCTAAACGATGTAGTCTAATTGCCCACATGAAATCTAATAAATTTGCATGTGATATGAGAGATTTGAATAATACAGTTGCAAATATAATATTTATATATAATATTTAACGATTAAACTATTAAATATTTGTACTTAACAAAAGTGAACAATATATACAATAATGCAGTATCTCAAGAATAAATTTATAATCCAAAATTATACAAATTTAGTAAATATATTGAGCACGATTAATGAAAAGATAAAATAAAGTTAGTACCTCTGTATCCTGAAGAATTTATAATATCCATGTTGAAAATTGAATCTGCAGAACGTCTTGTTCTTTCCACGGTATAATGTTAAATGATTCTCACGCATGCTCTCTATACAGATGCAAGAACTCGACAGCACTGTCAAACGCGGCATTAAATATTAAGAATGCTATTACCAATTACATCTACTGATATCATAAGAAAGAATTTTATAAACGTTCGAGTTATAAAATCGTTCATGTCTGGTTTAATAAAATAAGAGATAAAAAATGATGCATCGCACTATAAGTTCGTCGATATTCGTTCGAAAACTTTTTTTCTATTTCATATTGCTATATTATGTTCGCGTTTATTGCGAAACGAGGATTAACGCTATTGCATTTTTAATAAGGCTTTTTATACCAGCCAACAAAAATTATATTTAAAAAAAAAGATGATGTGAAATTGTATAGTACACGTATAACACGTATCTTTTAAATATCTCTTTTAAAGACATTTTTGCTGTCGTTATAATAGACGTGATAGAATGCAATATTTTTTGAGACTATAAGTAGATTATAATTCATATTTGAAAATTGTCCGTGTATTTCCAATGATAAAATTGTGGTCTTAAATCTGCAATTGTACAACGTGTAATATCTTTCAAAACTAGCAATATTCTCGAAATAAAACGACAAATTTGTAACATGATTCTACTCATTGAAGATAAGGCAGAACATTTTTTCTCAAAATTGAAGTACGTGATAAAACTCACATGGTTATAATAACGTAAGTACATTCATCTTGCTGTTGATTTGATTAAATGCAATTGTCAAATTTGGTAAAACGTTATTTATCAATAAGTCTAATGTAATTCAAATACGAACGTTAAGAAGAAATTTTGTATTATATATTTGTTATACTATTTTATTGTATATTATAATATACTATAGATTTCTCGTTTTTCTTTGATCCTATATTGCTATTGTAATTTTTGATTATCCTACGTCATGGTCCGTAGAATTCTTCAACTTTGTCGCGATACAGTTCTGAATGCACATATGTTCAAATCATATGAAATCTACATCCCAAAATCGGACAAAGACTGATAAATATGAATCAAATCAAATGTATTTTATTTTTAATTAATTACAATTGCTTGAAAAATTTCTTTTAAATTCGCAGAAATATCAATTTTGAATAAAAAATTCTAAAGTTTTTCATTTTAAACTTTAAGCAAAAAAATACGCGTTTCTTTAGTTGATCTTTCCATCGAACTACTTTTGTGCAATAAAAATATTTGTCACCAATAAAAATATTTGTTATAAATTGCTTAATGTGATATAATTGGTTATAAATTGCTTAATGATATAATTTATAATAAATAACAATCAATAGACAAAATATAATTATATTTTTACTACAGCTCTAACAATACCATGCTTTCTAAAAATTATGTTTACTTGTAAGCATATAATTATGAACGTTATATATTTTTAAGATTATATAAATATTGAATATTAATATATCATGTTTAGCCATGTTTTGTTAATAAAAATGATATATAGCCCATCGATGTTTTTAATATCTGAAAATAATAATTGATTTATTTACTGACATTTGAGAAGTATGTTGCTAACATCGATTTTTAGAAGTAGGGAAAATCGGGATTAGACTGTCAACTTTATAGTTTTGTATTTTTATAAGCAAATCTAAAAGACTTACAAAAAATTAATTCTTAATTAATTACAACATACATTCTGTATATACGTAAAAAGTTCGTAATCCGTACTGACTTATCAAGAGTCATTAAATATATAATTGTGTGTGTGTGCGCGCGTGCGTGGAAACGGAGAGAGAGAGAGAGAGAGAGAGAAATTAAATGTGAACGTAAATCGAATACCATTACATAACAAAGGAACAAAGTTAATATAAGTAAAATTGAAATAATCTTACACTGCAAAAAGTAGCCATTGTTAACGGAAAAATCTTTCCTGCAGTGATAGAAAAAGGATATTTAGCTCGCATCATTAACAAAATAAGACTTCTAGCCTTCCTTGATTCCAATTTATACCATTCAAGATCGCACATTGCACGATGTACTGCATTGCACTTAATGAATATATATGAGAAAACATATTAATGTCCATGCCACTTCAATAAAGACTATTTCCAGATATATTAGCATTTATATAGTAATGGTTAATTGAAATTTAAATTACTTCTTATTCCTTATAAAAGAAATTAAAAACAAAAATGTGATATAACTTGAATGAATTTGCATTCTGGTTAATGTTCACTTAGAAAGAGTCATTCGGTAAACGGTTATGCATAAATATGAACTATAGTAAATTTTTAATAAATAGTTTTGCTTAATAATTTAATAGCAAATTTATAATAAACAGTATTATAACAATATAAGTAAAAAAATATTTTGGTACATATACTAACATCTGAAAATTATATTTGCTCTAAAGTATAAAACAAATTTATACAATACTATTGGTATACATTACAAGTACGTTATAAATTATAACAATTTTACTGTGTATATTACGAGGGTTGATCAGAAAGTAATGCATCATATTTATTCGCCACAGTTTCTTTCTTTGCAATAAAAAATGCAATTATGGATGCGCTCTGTTTTGCGTTTACAGCACTTGTAAGCATAATTTAACCTTGTTTAACATTTAATAGACAACAAGAATGAACTGATGCTTACAGCGAGTGAATGTGAAACGGAACATACCCTATAGAAGCTCGTTAGAAAAGTTAGACACCATTAGAAAAGTTATTACAGCTACTTTATCTATCAGAATACCATGTAATTTTACATAAAAAC